ATATTTTACATCACAAACATCATTTATTTGTTTTAAAGATTATTCAAAATCCTAATTCTAACTCTATTTCATACTAAGGCTCTAATTAATGACTAAAGCTAAAATTAAAGAACTTAAAGTCTTAAGGCTTTAATTAAAAACTCAAGGCTTGATTTCAAAGTTAGTGATTAAATTAAAAGAGTTTAAATCTAAAGGTTTTATTCTATATTTGATTGTGTGACAATTTTAAAAGTTTTAAGAATTAGCATTCAATATTATTAATTAAACACATTTGATAGAATAATTAAAGCAATTTGAATGAAATTGATGACTAAATTGAACTCAATTAAAATTTGGGGAATGAATTACAAGCATTTTATAGTAGGTAGATTCATCTCTTCCCCCACAAACGGTTAAAACTAATTTCAGTTTAAGATTTTCACTAGAATCTTCGTCTTAGCATTTGGATCTAATCTAGTTCCAATAGTTAAGATTGTTTTGTGTTTCTTTCACATGACCTGATAACATAGCTTAATATGAACCCTTGGATCTACCTCGTCATAAAATGGCTCTAAAGAAATTATGCTTTTTGACAAGGATGGATGATTACGCTATTGGATCTATGGCTCATCAATGGTCCACAATGGCTTCACAATGATCAAAATGATGTCATCAACTCATCATCAATTACCTAAAAAAATAGACCAAAAATAATATTTTCTCTCCATTCCCCATTTCCCATAAAAACCAGCGGCTGGATGTGGATATTAGGATTTTGTTTTTTAAAAATTTATTTATTTATTTATTTGTATATGCATATATTTGTAACCATGTGAGACACTTTTGGGTCTAGAAAAAAACTATGTAATGGACTTATCTAATTAAATGGACTATTTTATTTGGGTTCTTTTTTATTTAAAAAGAAAATAAAAATGAGCTATTTATTCTAACATGCAAACTACATAGTATATACTAAAACTATGTAATTTACTAACTATTTAACATCTAATATAATATGTAATACTATTTATAATATGTAATTATTTAATATGAAACTATATGATATGCAATACAACTACTATTTAATATGTACTATCACATGCAAATTATTATTTAATATGCAATCACCTAATAAAAATTATATACAATATGATAAATGATATATGATTATCTAATATGCATACTATACTATATACATACTATATATTATATATATGCCCACTATATAATAATATATAATATGAAAAAAATAACCACGTATTACCATCCGGATAAAATGAATAACGACATGTAGTGTTCTCTAAGGCGAAGTTGGAGATGGTAAGAAATAGTAAGAGATTGTTTTCTGCGTTCTACGGGATTATAAAAACTTTTAAATTGAAGGTTATTGTATTTACGGGATTATAAAAACTTTTAAATTAAAGGTTATTGTATTTATTTTTAATTTGTAATATGGATATTTGTTTGTGCTATGTCTTCAGTGGTGTCGTGCATTTCGATGAATAGACCCTTAAACATCCTAGTGCTATTCTTCAACTTGAGACTCAAGTCTTTCATACCCTCCAAAAAAAAGGGGGAAAGAAAAAGGACTCGAGTCTTTCCTTTTGAGCTGTCTACTGTGGATGGACCACAGTAATTCTACACATTCCTCCCTCAAATTACGGGAATGGTTTTTTTTCAAATATACAATCTGTGAGTGGAGTAGGAAACTTTAAGACTTGTGACTTCCTTTTGAGCTGTGTACTGTGGATGGACCACAATAATTCTACATATTCCTCGCTCAAATTATGGGTATGATTTTTTTTCAAATATACAATCTGTGAGTGGAGTAGGAAACTTTACGACTAGTAAGGACTGTTTTGATGTTATAAATGAAACAAATTAGATTAATAAATTATTTTGAGTTAATCAATTAATGAATTAGATGCTATTAATAAATGTTGAAAGTCAAACATAATATGTATTGGCAAAACACTTACCAAGAAATTAAGGAGCAAAGAAAAACACAATAAAGTAATTATGTGTTGGCAACTTTCAAATGCATGCTTAAAGCTTAAGGTGGCAGCAAAGAAATTTCTACAACAAATAAGAGGAGTTTAAAATGACAAGGAAAATTACATGAATGTGAAAATGTCCATTTGTATCGTATTTGTATTTTAGTTAATATTAACAATAGCGTGTGAGTTGTAAATTGCCGAAAGCCCATTAACGCTTCCAACAATAAAATATAAAATAAATATCATTTCAACTCAAATGTCTTGCAAGTCACACTCGAATGAATGAAAGAGAGATTTTTCAAATACTTTACAATGTTTACCTAGTTGAATCCATCGTCTCAAGAGGAAAATGAGAGGGAATTTATTAAGTGGCCTCAGTGATAAAAGGAAATGTTGCTCTATCTAAAAGTTTCGGGTTCAAATAGCTACCTCTACAAGGAGTGCTTGTGATATTAATAGATAAAGAAAATTTTAAACAGATATTACCATATAATCACTAAAAAAAGGAAGACAGATAGAAAGAGGTGCTTGAGATTTCTAACAAATTACAAAGACCATGACTTGGACAATTCATTGTTTTATAGTCATGTCCTTTTTACACGACAAAAGATATTTAACGCAAAGTCTCATTTCGTGTTTTTATCAAAGAATATTCAGCTGCCGTGATCGCCGCTCTAACTTAAAGTACTAGCATATTTGTCGTTTAAAGTACAATACATGTTTGTTTTTATTGGAACCGACATGCTTTTCAAGGTAACCTCTTGGTAACAGGCTGAGGTTGTCTTATCCCTTCAGTGTTTACTCTTAACTTGCACTTCAATTGTTTCTTTACTTATTATTTGGTCTTTAAAGAAAATTTACCATAAAAATATTAGATAAACTTTAAATTCATATTTGATTCGATTAATAAATATAATATATACAACACCCGTACAACCTTATGGTAAACTTCAATTGTGCGTATTTCTTATTCATATTGTGAGTCGAAGGATATCGTGTCTAATTATTTAGAATCAAAGTATATAAAGAGCATCGAACTAACAATAGAGAAGCATTAAAACTCAGTTGTTTCTCTCTTCATGATTTGCATTTTACCCACACCCAACCTTATGGAAAAAACTCCCTTCCTACTTCCTCTTATGTTTCTCTTGCTATTTGCAACCTTCAGGGTTACTCTGTCTGACAACATCACCGTTGATGAATTCTCCCTTTTAGCCTTAAAATCCCGTATAACTCATGATTCGCACAACCTCCTAGCAACCAGCTGGTCCACTTCTATATCTGTTTGCAATTGGACTGGTGTCACTTGTGGATCCAGACACCAGAGTCATTGCTCTGAATTTGTCAAGTATGGATCTCATAGGCACCATTCCATCTCAATTGATAAATTTATCTTTCCTTGTCTGGCTTGACATTCATCACAATAGTTTTCATGGCTCTTTACCTACCGAGTTAACTAATTTACATCGACTGAAATATTTGAACTTTGGTAGCAACAGCCTCACTAGTGTTATCCCATCTACTTTGGGCAATTTGTCAAATTAGAAACGCTGGTCTTGTATAATAATTCTTTTTCAGGTTTCATATCTTTCTCGATCTTGAATATATTTCATTAGTTATAAGATATATGTAACTAACAATTTCACTGCAGGCCATCTAGGGTCGGAAATATTTGATAACATGTCTAAATTGCAAGTATTAAGCTTGACTGGGAATCAAATTTCTGGTAGCATTCCTAATAGTTTATTCAAGTGCAAAGAGTTGAGGTATTTATCATTATGGAACAACTCTATGGAAGGAAGTATACCTATAGAAATTGGAAATTTGACTATGCTCCAATCTTTGTATCTTGGTTACAACAACTTCAAAGGTTAAATTTCCTCATTTGCATTTCGTTCTATTTTATTTTCATTAGATAAATGTTGTTTTATAATTAACAATCTCACTGCTGGCCATCTAGAGTCGGGAATATTTGATAACATGTCTAAATTGCAAGTTTTAAGTTTGGCTGGGAATCAAATTTCTGGTAGTATTCCTAATAGTTTATTCAAGTGCAAAGAGTTGATTTTTTTATCCTTATGGAACAACTCTATTGAAGGAAGTATACCTATAGAAATTGGAAATTTGACTGTGCTCCAATCTTTGTATCTTGGTTACAATAACCTCAAAGGTAAACATTTCCTCATTCGTATTTCGTTTGCTTTTATTCCATTACCTTTTTTCTTATTGTTCATCTGTGTCCTCCTCAAGTGTGCTCATTAATAAATTTTGACGGAATTAATTATACGTTCAAGTGATATTTCATTGACCATAGGAAGTTTGACTTCTCTAGTATTCATAGATATTTCTTATAACAAATTATCATGTATAATATCATATTTTTAGTTTATTTTGTTGAAAATATAAGAATTTTACAAAACAAAAACACCAACATTGATTAAAAATAGTTTGAAAGATATTAGAATTAAGTTTAATTGTGTTGTGACTTAAACTACAACATTAGAAGTAAATATTAATAATTTTGACGGAATATAATCATATGTTTAAGGTGAAATTTCATTGAATATTAAGAATCTTATTTCTCTCGAGTATATTGAGCTTTCTAATAACACCTTAAAAGGTATAATATCACATTTCTATTTTTTTCTCTTATACAATTTATTATTTTGCTCAACATGAAGAAATTTTAATCATATACAAAGCAATCATGATGGAAAAATTCAGGAAAAAAGGTCTTCATTTGAAAAGCAAAGCTACCAACGAAGAATAAAATAAGGAAATGGCTTCTCATTGCAAATATTTCGTATGTTTCAGGTGAAATTCCATCTATTATTGGAAATCTTACTTCTCTTGAATTTTTTGACCTTTCTGAAAACAACTTAAAAGGTACCTCATGTTTCTTCTCTTTTCTTGTACAAGTTCTACTATTAGTCATGTAAACATTTTTCAACAAATTGGGTTTAGATGATTTGAAATAACAGATTAAAGGTTGGATTGATACAATTTTTATGTGGGAATTTTATCATAGTTTTAAGTATTTTCTTTTCATTATGCTAAAAAATTGAAGTTTGGTTATTTATTCCGCAGGTTCTATTCCCTACTCAATCTTCAACATTTCCTCGTTGCAAGTTATTTCACTGGGATACAACAATCTCTTTGGTTATTTCTCTTCCGATATGTTCGATTATCTTCCTCGATTACATTATCTTAATTTGGAATATTGTCAACTTTCTGGAAGAGTTCCAATGAGTTTATTCAAATGCAAAGAGTCAAACTTTTTTGTTTTTGGATAATAATAATTTGGAGGGAATTGTGCCAGTAGAAATCTCAAATTTGACTTCACTCAATATGTCTCTATCGAAGAAAACTATTTATCAGGTAAGCTAAATAACTCATCTCGCTTTAATGATGTACTTAAGATATAGATGAGTTATTAACCATTGAACATTTTTTAATAATAAATATTGTTGTAATTTGTTTTAACTTTTTTATTTAGTTTCTTCACCATAATAATATTTTTAGTAACTCTATTTATATGTTTCAGGAAAAATTTCATCAGTTATTGGAAACTTGACTTTTCTCGAGGAATTTGAACTTTCTAATAATAACTTAACAGGTATAATATTATTTTCCTTTTTTCTTTACTTAGTTACATGTTAGTATTAGTAAGATTTACAGTTTTGTATCCAAACTAAATATTAAACTGAAAAAAAAATTACATTACAAACATTATTTATTTGTTTCAAAGATTATTCAAACTCCTAATTTTAACTCTGTTCCAAATTTTCTGCAAGGCCGAATTCCTTCCTCATTATACAATCTGAGTTCCCTTAAGGTTCTCTTCTTATACAAGAATAGTTTGGATGGAGAAATTCCATATTGCATTGGAAACATGAGTTCTCTTTCACACATTGACCTAGAGAAGAATAATTTTCATGGTAAAATACCAGAAAATTTTGGTAAAAGTTGCACCTTACACAGTTTTCGAATCAGCAACAACAAAATAGAAGGGTCGCTGCCCCGATCTTTGGGTAATTGCAAAGAGTTGAGGCTTCTCTATGTTGGAAACAACTATTTGAATGACACATTCCCAAATTGGTTAGGAAATTTGGATCAACTGCAAGTGCTTATCTTGAGATCGAACAAATTCTATGGTGAAGTTGTTAGCTCAGGTGTTACAGTTTCCTTCACTCGTTTATGTCTCATTGATATTTCTCATAACAACTTCAGAGGCTATTTACCTATGAAATATTTTGAAAATTTGCATGCCATTAAAGAAGGGAATGGAAAAAAAAAGATAAACCAGAGTACATGACAGATGGATCAGTATTTGGAGTGTTGAATTATGCCTCCAACATATCTTTTACAATAAAAGGGTTGGAAACGGAGTTTGAGGAACTGCTAACTATATGGACAATTATTGATTTTTCCAGCAATCAGTTCTACGGAGAAATTCCTAAAACACTTGGAGAGCTTCACTCACTTATTGTCCTGAACCTCTCTCATAATTGTTTAACAGGTCATATTCCATCATCATTAGGTGATATGTCAGAGCTTAAATCATTAGATCTCTCATCAAACAAACTCCATGGAAGAATTCCAATAGAGTTGAAAAATCTTAGGTTCTTAGCCGTGTTGAACTTTTCTAAGAATAATCTCACAGGACCTATTCCTCAAGGCAAACAGTTTGATACTTTCACTAATGATTCCTACATAGGAAACCTTGGTTTATGTGGACTGCCATTATCAAAAAGCTGTGATAATGATGAGGGAACTCCAGCTAAATTTGATAGAAATGATGATGATGGAATGAACTGGAAATTTTCAATATTGATGGGGTATGGATGTGGGTTGTTGCTGGGACTGACTAGGGGATACATTGTATTCACAACTGGAAGACCATGGTGGTTCATTAGGATCTACGAGAGAGTTCGAAAAAGATTTGCAAAAAAGGTAAAGAAGAGAACTCTTTGACGGATTTTTGCTGCAAAACAACCAGTGGACTGGACAGAGCAGAAAACTTCAAGGCATGGTGGTTGGCAGCAGTGATCGACCCAGAAATTCGAAAATGAGGTCCAAAATTTTAATATACCTTTTTCAAAAAAGAAATTGAGTATGCAAATTTTTTTCCCTCTTTCCATAATACAGTAAACTAATGGGATACACTTTCTCCCTAAGGACTTAATCCATCCGCCCTGGTTCAGGTCCTTCTCAATAGCTGTTTTATATAATTTTCAAATAATTATGGTTTCCCTCTTCTATTGTCTCTTTTTCTATTTCACTGTATTTTGGGCTTTCCTTTATATTGTACTTATACGTATCTCCACATTCTACGGGATCATAAAAAAATTTAGATTAAAAGGTATATATTTATTTTTAATTTGTGATGATATGAATATTTTCTTTGTGCCTATTCAAGTTATTGTTTGATGTAAATACAATAGGGCCTTGGTACCCTTCAAAGTTTAGAGTTAAATTACTTTTTGGTCCTCAATACTAGATCTGCATTGTATACTAGGATGCTAGAACATACGAAGAAAAACAAATACTCGATAATATTAAAAAAACACCTCATCATGCCTCTTAGATCTCGGTGTTGTGCTTTTTGTGCATGTTCCATTAAATTTGATAATAAGAAGAGAGTTAACTTTTCACATAAGTTATCTGAACAATTTTTCCCACAATTTGTTTCTCGGACAAAATGAATATTTATGTCTGTTTTTTTTTGTCAGTAAGAAGAATTTATTAGATATAAACGCACAAATCCATCTCGATTGTATGTCTCATTAGAAACCTCCTAAGACCTAAATGGAGAAAAGAGTAAGCACGATATCTATGTCTATATGCTTCAATCGAGAAAGGAAAATTGGATTAGAATTTATTGCTACGGCGTTGGTGTTGTGCCCTAGTGTGAAAAACGTATAGTAATTTCCCTAGTATGTTACGATACTCGTGTACATCTTTAAGTGGACTGACTGCATCCTCTCACAAAATCAAATGCTGTTTCTTATAAACTAAGGAAAGAAAGAAATTCTGAAGATCAACTTATAGTTTATACAACAAAGATGGATTTCTACAATTATAAAATTGAATAAGAAAGTACTCATCCGCAGAGCTGACATGAACACCTCAACCAATTCATACATAAGAATGCATGATATTTTGAACACGGATAGATACCTAAATGCCAAAGAGCTTGACTTTAAACAACCAAAGCAATAAAAAATGACTTGTATTTTTACGAGCGCTCAGTCTGAATTGGAATCAAATAACTGGTAGAATTCCAAAGAGTTTATTCAAGTGCAAAAATTTAACATATTTATCATTGTACAAAAACTCTTTGGAGGGAAGTATTCCTACAGAAATTGGAAATTTAACTAAGCTCCAGGTTTTGCATCTTGATCACAACAACTTCAAAGGTAAACAATTTCTCAATTTTATCTCATTTTCTTTTTTATTATTTGTTTTTATGAACAATTATTAAAATATTGAAGCATGACATATATTACACAGTGAATCTTGTGGTTCATCTCCAATAGGTGCACTCTTACTCGTCATTAGACTAAAAACCATGTTTCAGACAATAAAGCTGATAATAATTTCAATCTCTTAATATAATAATACTCTTAGGCGTCTTAGCTCTGAAAATATAAATAAATTTTAGTGAATCTAATTGTATGTTTCAGGTGAAATTTCATCGGGTATCGGAAATGTTATTTTCTGTTGAGGTGATTAACCTTTCTTCAAACAACTTAAAAGGTATTGTACAATTCTTTAGTTTGCTCAGCAAAAAGTCATAACAGAAAATTTTGAAAAAACTGCTTAATTTGAAAATCAAACCTACCAATAATGAATTCAATAAGGAAATGGTTTACCATTACAAATCTTTTGTTCCATTAATATCACCTTTATAACTTTTTTTCTCGGCAATTTGATTTTATTTAATATCTTAAGCGTCTAAAACTAGATTATGTGCCTCGCTAAAAGCTTTTCTAATCCTAGTTAAAGAAAAAGAGTACAAACAACCAGGAATAAGACTAGATACAAAGAACCATCGCAACCAAAATACAAAATACACGTCCATTCTAACCACAACCATGTTTAGCAACTTTAGACCTTATTTTTCTTCTTACACTTAATATAGTTTATTTTAGTTTTTAATTCTTTACTCTCTTAATATAGTAATACTTTTGGCTATGAGAAAACAAGTTAATTGCACATTGGATACTTTTAACTTATGAGACATAATACATGTTTAATTATATGTTTCGGGTGAAATTCTTTCCGTTATTGGAAATCCGACTTCTCTTGCAAGATAGATATTTCCTATAACAACTTCTTAGGTACAGATATGTTTGAATTGAATGATTATAACTCTTTGGAGATATCATAAGTAGTAAAAAATGAATGCAATTTTCATATTTAAGAAGAAAAAAAAGAAACAAAAGATGACGTGATTAATCATATAAACATTTTTTAACAAATTAGCTGTAGATGATATAAAATCATTGGTTAAAGGTTGGATTGATACAAATCTTCTACATTTGATCATAGCTTAAGACTTTTTTTTTTCAATTATGCCTCAAAATTGAAGTTTGGTTATTTTTTGCGCTGGTCCTATTCCAATGAGTTTATTCAAAAGTAAAGGTTAGAACAGCTGTATTTGAATTATAATCATTTGGAGGGAACTGTTCCATTAGAAATCTCAAATTTGACTTCACTCAAGCTTTTATTCATCCAAGAAAACAATTTATCAGGTATGCTTAATAACTCATCATGCTTCAATATAGAGGAGTTTCATGTCAAAAAATATATAGAGGAGTTATTTGTTTTGTAATACCCAAAATTCGATTAGTGAGCGAAATGAAAATTTAATGACCAAACTATACATTTAAAAAAAATTAAGGTTTAAAATAATATTTTTTTCTAAAAAAGATTTTTATCTAAGAAATGAATAATTTACCTTCAGTAATTTAATTTTGGTGTTACGCGGACTTCTGGAACGGAATGACTTGGTAAAGGAGTGTTTTTCTATAGCTAAGGTTGTAAAATCATGTAATCGGATAGGTTTAAGTCGGATCTTGGTAGGTCGGGTAAAATCAGGTACATGTCAACTCATGTTGATTTTGCATAAGATCCAGATCGGGTTCAGGTCAGGTCAAATCAGTTCAGGTTATTTTCAGGTTGATTTGACACCAAATCTAGATCGGGTTCAGGTCAGGTCATTTTCAGTTCGGATCGATGTCAGTTCAGGTCAAAACAGTTCAGGTCTGTAGCAGATAAAGACTAGTTTAATTCAAGTTCGGGTGGACTTCAGTCGGATCTCGTTCAAATTGGGTCACATCATTGGCAGATAAAATTCAGGTCGGATGTTTACCGGATACGGATTAAGTTCATGTCGGGTCGTTTTTATTTTTGGATTAATTATTTTGTCATCTTTCGTGATTGTTGAATTGCAAGTTGTAATTGTATATGATTTCGAGTAAATTAAGAGAAAATAAATATCCATGGATCAATATAAAAGGACTAAATTGAAGAAATGTAAAATTACAAATAAGATTTTAAAATATAAATTAAACAATACAATAGGTAAGGGACTAAATTGAAATAAATTTAAAATGTGAGGTTTAAATTAATATAAAAAGGACTAAATTAAAGACATTTAAAAAGTTATGGGACAGTTACAAAAATATAAATAACAACTAACAATGGGCCAAATGAAGATGCAAATATAAATTAAGGACTAAATTGAATACATATAAAAGTGAAAGACTTAAAATTGATATAAATTAAAAAACAAAAAAGGATTAAATCGAAATAAATGCAAATATGAAGAAATAATGATATAGTAAATTGTATATATAATATATATTATATTATATATAAACTATATATAAACTATATTATATTATATATTATAAATATATTTATATAAATATATATATATATGTAAACTATATATATGTGAACTATATATGTATAAACTATAGAAAGTATATATTTTATAAACTATAATTTATATTAATATAGTATATATATATATTATTCAAAGTGAGTGGTGGGAGAAAACTTTTTAAAATAAAGATTTTTTTTTGTGTAATTTTTTTTATTTTATTTGGGAATTTAGAGGGAAATTGGGAAATTTTGAGAATATGACATGTACTACTATTTATGAACCATATAATATGCAATGTGACATACTAATTATTTAACACATAATTAATCATGTTCTATATAATTTACATTTAAATAATTTTATTAATTTTATTAAATAATTTTATATAATATGTATGTATAAACCATGTATATATATATATAATATAAAGTAAATTACTTATCTAGTTTATAGAACACTATGCATAAACTATATAAAGTAATAAAGTATATAGTTTATAGAAACCCTAAACTTTAAACCCTAAACTCTAAACCCTAAACCCTAAACATAAACCCTTATATATGTATTACATGCATATATGTATGTATGCATAATGTGTGTATTAATGTATGTGTATCATACATAAAAAAATACATCAGTAAATAATGAAGTTATAATTTGATTTTATGATATGTATGCATGCATGTATGTATGTATGATGCATGCATTACATAGATTATCGTGTAAATAAGATTAAAAGTTTAATATTTTAATAGATATTTTAATTTAAAAATATTATAAAAATATATTGATGTTTGTATGATACATATGTTATATGCACATATTATGTATGTATGATGCATGTATTAAAATTTTAAGCTTTTTAATTTAAATAAATTTTAAAATTTTATAAATGTGGTACATGTCAATGAACAATTTTTTAATAATTGTGATGGATCAAAATTTAAATGTTATATGCACATATTATGCATACATGCATGCATGTATGCATGCATTACATAGACTATCGTGTAAATAAGATTAAAAGTGTAATATTTTAATAGATATTTTAATTTAAAAATATTATAAAAATATATTGATGTGTGTATGATACATATGTTATATGCATATATTAT